CAGGGAGGGGTTGGTTGGTCCTGGGCCAAAATTTTTTGGGGGGCTTTTTTTTTTTGGGGGGGCCCGGGGAAGGGGGTCCGGGGCGTTCTTTTTTGGGTGTTTTTGGGGCCGGAATCCTTAAGTTGAAAGAACTTTTTTCCCCGGGCCCGGAAAAACAAACCCCCCCCCCGGGGTCCGGGGTTGGCTTCCCCCTTTGGACCCCCGTTGGCGTTGCCTTTTTCCCGGGGGGGGTTTGGGGGATCCGGTTTCCGCCTTTTGGGGTTTTTTTCCCGGGGGGGAAAGGCCCCCCCCCCCCCCCCCCCCCCGCCGTTCCCCGTTCTGCCGCGTTTCCCTCGCCAGGTTGGAAAGTGCGCGCCACGAACAGCGCAGTCGCCTCCACCGTGTCCTACCTTCTCCGTTCCCCGCGCCGGCGTCTTTGGCAAGGTTCTGGCGCCGTGGGGACCGGGGGGTGGGCCAGCAAACCGAGCTGCCCCAGGCGACGACGACCTCCCTCCTCCAGCCGTGGTTACGGAGGCGTCCGTCCCACGAGCGGCCGTATTTGAGATCCGCGCGGGCGTTTGTGGTCGCCCGGAAGCCCAACCCGTCCTCGTTCCCACCGCGGCGGCGGCGGCGGTGCGAGGAGGCCGCTCACCGTCGGCATCGCCGTGGCCGACCAAGCGGGCCCTCGGCGTCTCTTGCCGGCGACGGCAGTGATGGCCTTTATTCAGATGAGTCCGATAGCGGGGGATCCGCACTTCTGTCCAACCTGGCGGCGCTTGAAGCGGTGGCCAAGGTTGCGAGGGGCAAAGGCCGCCCGGTGGCGGTGGCGGCGGCGGCGGCGGCGGCGGCGGCGGCGGCGGCGGGGAGGCCGGAGCACAACGCGGCGGCTCTGGCAGCCATCGCTGCGGGGGCGGCACCGGTGAAGTGGGGCAGAGAAGGCGCCGCCGAACGAAGGGCCAAGGCTGCTGCTGAGAGAAGCAGCAGCGCCGGCAGCCCGGCGGCGGACGGCGACGAGCCACCGGACTTGAGCCCGTTGGCATCGCACCGCCGCAGCGGCGGTAGCAGCACCGCCGGATTCAGCACGACGAGCGGCAGCAGCAGCGGAAGACAGCAGTGGCACGCTTACGGGAAAGGCGGCGGCAACAGCACGAAGAGTATCAACGGCGACGACAACAACGCGGCTTTTAACGGCCGGCTGGAAACCGGCAACATCGAGCAGGGCGAGGAGAGGGAGAGCGGACTCCGGTGGACGACGGAAACAGCGGCAGCGGAATGCCGAGGTGCCGCAAACGGCGGCGAGAGCACCATCCCGCCGCCGCCGTCCTACACGGCCGCCCAGGAAGCGGAGTGGCTAGGCGTGCTGCCCCACGCGGGATGGGCGGAGGTTACCGCCGCCGGTGGCACGGGAGAGGCAGCTCGGCTACGACACAACCGGAGGTCGAGCGATGGCCTCGTGCCTTTCCACAACGACGGAAGTGGCGCCGACGGGGGGACTCCCCGCTCGTCGTCGTTGAGGACGCTCGGTCAGCGGCGGCGAGAGGGCGGCGGGCGGAGGATGGAGGTTTTCCTGGACAACGAGGAGGGGGAGTGGGGACAGACGCCGAGGAGCCGGTTCCGGTTGTTCTGGTGGCCCGGCAGGTGGCGTTTTTTTTTTTTCTTCCTTTTCTCTTTGACGCGCGGTTTCATGTTGGTATGGGTGGTTGTAGCGTGTTGCGTTGTTTTGGCTTTCGAGAGCTTGGGGTCAGCACTCCATCCCGTCGGGACGGCTTTCAACACGTAGCCTCCCCCACTCACCCACGCCGCCTATTGATCAATTGTCGAACAACTAGCGCATGCGAAACGTGAGTACGTGAAAACCCGGCGTGCTCCGTCCCGGCTTTGTAGGGATGCGAGGTCAATGGTCTAACGGATACGGCATGCACGACTATAAGGACACCACCCCGCCCCATAGTTGGTGTTGCCGAGTTGTAACGATCGTGGCTCCATCCTCTCACGTGGGTTTCCCGCAGGAATCGGCATGTTCCAGTAGGAGTCTGCCTCGACTCGCCAAACGTTGCCCGGTCTTCGCGGGGGTCCAAGGACGCAGAGGAGGGAGCGAAACGGTTTGCGTGGGACACGGAAGACGGGGGCGACGCCGACTGCAACGGCGGGGGGTCCGTGGTTGGCTCTGAGCGAAGGATCGAAGCCCGGTTTTCCTCCTCGACGGAATCGGCGCTGCTGTGCTCGGAGGTGGTGCGTGCGAGGGTTGTTAATCCGGCAGTTTTGTCGTAATTTCTTTCTTTCTTTGTTTGTTTCGGTTTAGACTCGTCACTTGTCCTCTAAAAACCCCAAAAAATATTTAGTTTAATACAAAAACACATTTATTCGTTCGTACTATTTTCGACCACTTTGGAGCATCTACATTGTGCCATATTAGACTAGATGGCCTGCTGTAAGATGTAGACGTGCCGGGAGAGTATTTGAGGATTTTGTGTGTTTTTTCTGTCCTTGTTTATGCAGCTTTTGTCCCCCTCGTTGATACTTGTGTGGATTGACTTCCTATTTATTTATTTTTTGGTCGGCGGCGGCCGCTCTTCCCGTAGATCATGGGGTGTGTGCGCGCGCGGTTCACAAGGCATGGCCATGTTTCTGACCCTTGACAGGTCACGAAAAGTCTCTCAGATAGAGAAGTGTCGTAGTCTTGTTTATGAAGATGGGCTGTATCGCGCGCGATTGACAAGGCATGACGCATTGTTGCTAACCTTCCGCATTCCACAGTACAAAGAAAAAAAGAAAGTACAAGTGTCGCCTTCCCTTCCGGCCCAACAACAACGAACCGAGATGGCAGATATCCCCTTCCACCTTTGGCAAAGTAGGAAGGAACGATTGGCCATCGACGATCATCGGTCCTGTGGGAACGATGCTCCGTCCTCTCGTAGTCGATGGTCTAACAGCTAAGGCACGCAAAGCATGAGTACGCCCCCCCCTCCCCTGACTATCGGTGATCGGTCCCGTGGGAACAATGCCCCGTCCTCTCAAGGACGCGTAGTGAAAGGTCTAACCGCTAAGGCATGATGAGTACCCCCCCCCCTCGGTGTTTGCCATCGGGATTGGGTTTTCGTCGCTTGGCAACGACGTTGTAAAAGAAGCCAATTCACTTCGTGAACTCGGCAACCAGGTTACCGTTTTTTTTTTTTGCCTCTTTTTTTTTTGGCGGTAACCATAATGGTGGTCGAGTAGATCATGTTGTGCGGGGTGGAGAAACCTCACTCCGCGCAAGGGGGATGATCGCACCACGTTGTGTTAAAATGGTCAAGCATCCTCGAGGCAGCTACACAGTGCTTATAACTGTCTCTGGAAGTGAACGCACCAGAAAATAAATTAAGTCATACGCAGCTGTCATCCGTACGCAAGGAAGTAAGCACAAGATGCCGAACACCCTTAGCAGGATGCAGCTCACCCTTCATGCGACTCGCCGAATACCTCACGGTGCTTCGCGCTTGGTGATGTGAGAGCCTGGTCCGGTGAGAACCCGGCGTGCTCCGTCCCGGCTTTGTAGGGATGCGAGGTCAATGGTCTAACGACTACGGCATGCACGACTATGAGTGCACCCCCCCCCCCCCGACCTTCCACTTTTGCGCGACCCAATCGTTGTCCGGCAAATAGTTCGCTAGCTCAGGTGGGCACGTTCCATACCCGGAGGAAGAGCAGGCGGCGGAGAGAGGAGCCGCCATCGGTCGTACCCCGACCACCGGTCAGCAGGTCGTCGATGCTGCGGGCGTCGGCCGCTTCCATCATCTGGGGCCCGTCTCCAAGGGCCGCCACTGCTGCTGCCGCTGCTGCTCGTGGCGGCGGGGGCCGTAACGTCGCCAGAGAAGGGGGCGGAAAGAAGCGCCTTCGGCGCTGGGTGCACGGAAAAAGATACACAAACGGTGAGGAAGCGCTCCTCTTGCCGATGCTGCCTCTGCTGTTGTTTTGAGAAATTTTGGATTTTTTTTTGGCGGGTTTATTAAGGCCCGACACCAAAGGTGTGTGTGTTCGTGCCATATATATATATATTTTTTTTTTGCCAACGAGGTGCGTACCGCGCCATCCACCGTCGTCGACCGACCGACCGGTTCCACCCCCAGCGCGTACGCACACATGTGTGTGTACATATGCCCTCGGAAGGAAGCAGGAGAGCCAAGGTCGAGACTCGTGATTCTAAGCGGCATTGGAAATACCTTTACGAGAGCTCTAGATGATGTGTGTCTTATCTCTCAAGCCCCTGGCTGCCGAGGAAAGATAGTACCACAGTTTTTTGTCGACTTTTCGATGGTAGCTCTGCGGTGGCACAGATCCGGAGTTGTTTTCATGGCTGCACGGTTCCGACTCGGTGTTCTATGTCGACGAGGGTCACCAGTTCTGAAACGGTCTGCCCCCGACCTTCCTTTTACTCGGCTGCTACGCAATCGAGAAACGTAGGACAACGCGAACAAGTTCAGTCCACCCACAAGCGATATTTGGGATCCCCGTCCCACTCCTTGAGGGGGCCCGCCGGCCTAGGTGCCACGTCACGGCACTCCTCCCCCCCAGCTCGTGTGCAACTCTTCCCTTGTGAGCAACTGTTACTGTACCTCCGCCCCCCCCCCCCCCCTTGGTTGCAACTCTCACTGGGGTACTTCGGGACAGTCAATTGCTCACCCGCCCCCTGCCATCCTTGTAAAGGAATGGCCGCGTCTCGGCCAAAAAAAAAAAAACTTCAACACGTGCAAGGAGAACGAAAACTCCCCCGAACG